AAAAAAAAACCGCAAAAATCAAGCGAAAAAATGCGAAAATAAAGCGAAAAAAATAAAAAGTGAAAAATAAACGACAAATACGCACAGCTACATTTTTTTGCTTTTTTGTTTGCTTTGCCTTTTGCCTTTTTTTTGCTTTGTTTTTGCTTTATAAAACTATTTTGGCTCCTTGTATCTATGGCTGGCGTGCCCGACATAAGCCTATTGGTCAAGTCCGGCCACTTTTGGGAAGAGAAAGAAGGGGAGGACTGCAAAATAAATGATTTTGCATGTTCCATGAGTCCAAATAGAGTCCGGCAAAGGCTCCCCCAGTGGTATACAAGCCAAAGGAATGCAATACGCGCAGAAATTGGATTCAAAAAGTTCAGAGAGCAACTGGTTATTCCAAAGTCATTCGAGCCAAAGCTGGCGAAGACCTAACTCAAACCTATTGTGGAAAGGCTTCTTTGCTTTTCGCTAACTCCAGCAGAATACAATGCACCACAGCCATTTGCTCAACAACTTCCATCTGCCCCGAAACAAGCTGAATGAATCCCCGATGCGTGCCATAAGGAGTGGATTTTGACGACCTGGTAAGATAACCATCAAATCCAAAAGACCAAGAAGCAGGTGATAGCACGTGTGGAGGGTCCCAGCAAAAGTATATACAACTAAGGATTCTCTATGGTCTAAGAAAGTTTCTTCGCCTACAGTTGTCCTGTGAAAACTAGAGCAAAACCCAACCTTTCAGGCCTTTACCTCTCCGGTAGATCAGCAACCGCATTGATGGCTCCACAATCAGCCAGCGCAAGGCGATCATGATAAACAGAATGATGGCGATCACCCAGCAATAAATGATCGAAAACAGCGGGAAGTACACCAGGCCCACTAGCCATCCAAAGCTCCAACACCGTGCAAGAAGTACCACCATGTAGATGGCCCAAATGGGGCCATTGCTCTTGGAGGCTCTTCGTATCAACGCGACTAAGCGCTTGGGTGCCAGCATCGAAGGGGCAAAGGCCTTGTGGATGTCTTCTTCATCGCTGAAAGGCCTGGGGATCATCATCGCACGCCACAGGGGGCCTTTGTCATCGTCATCCTCATCGTCGTCTTTCTGCACAGCCTCCATGAATTCGCTCCACTTATCGCAAAAGTCTGGCCTGACTTCATGAAGGACAACAACCCTGCGCTGAGTTCGTGTGCATTTGGGTGTATTACAATAGGGAGACCTCCCAAAAGACCGCCTGGAAGAAGGGAAATAGACCGGAACCTATTGATTGAGGATCCCACTATTAGGGTATGTGGCCCATGTGTTTGCCCAACTAAATAACTAAGCCTTGCCGGAGGCGGTCGCTGCCGGGTTTCATACACGAAACGACCAATGCAGGAATTGAAACGCGCAACGTACTTTGGACACCCCAATACTGATGAGTACACCCAAAATTCAGAACCAATTCAATGCCCAAGCGAGCTACTGATGAGCAGCTTTGAAGTTCAGGTAGTCATTGAAGACCAGAAGTAAAGCAAGCTGATCAACGTACCTACCCCACTGTGAGCTAGAGGAATATTGCACCATTGCCAGCATGCCTGTGCGCAAGAGTGATGGGAAACCAAAGCCTGCCGAAAGCTGTTTCCTTGCAATCTCCAGAAACTCTCCTGTTTCTTGGAACCAGGTGTAGATCGTGCGGCCCAGAAGGTAAAGAAGCAGCACCTGTTTGCCTACTTTGGCAAAGCTTTTCCACCATTTGCGGCTGCTCCGTAGCCGGGGCGGCCCCAAGATTGCATTCGTCGACGCTGCTGCAATGATACTGGTAATCAGGACCATCCAATACGGCTGCTTCCCTGGAACCCTGACAATTTCATCGATGTCTTGTATAGTAGGTCCTTCGGCCACCACAAAGGCCAATCCAAAGGCGATCAAGGCTATTGGGAGGAGGATCACGAACAAATGGCCACCTTACTTGATGAATGATCCCGACGGGAAAAGAAGAACTCGACCCCCTAAGGGCCCCTACTATATACCTGCACGTCGGCCAACAAATGAGTGAAGCGCTCATGTCCAAGCGAGGCACCGACGATGACCACCAGATAGACGAAAAAGGTGGAACAGGAATCCTCGTCGGAAGACTTTGTGGCACCAGCAAGGGATCGCTTCGTTTGACCCAGCCCGCCCAGCAAAGCTAAGCCCAAGTGCTGGAAGCAGCTCAATCCTCTTTTGTCTAAATCATCCATGAGTTGAGTTGCCTTTTCCGCACCTTGAGACACCGTGGATGCTCTTCTCTTCGCTTCATGGATAAAGCTTTGCGCCTTCGTCATCGCACTACTGGACATCAGACTAGCCCTCTTGTTCGTCATCATACTAGCGGTTCTGGTGCCCGACCTATCCGATGTCCGCAATTTGGACACCTCCTCTTGCTCATCTTCACTTTCTTCCTCTCTTGCTGGCTCTCCGTCTTGAAACCTCACTTTGGCCGCCTTTGGGGCCTCAGAAAGACCCCAGAGCGGACTTGTCTGGACTTGTGTGGTCGATGGGAACTGGTGATTCTCTGATGCTTCAACGGTTTTTCAGTCCACAGATTCATAGGATTCGTAGAAATTGGACGATTTAGGTTGATGATTCATTACATACTCACTTCATTCATGTTCATGCGTGAAAACCATGTTATTTGATTCATTCGCCCTCTGGCTCACAGGAGGATGGCTGGGGAGAGTGCATCAACCCCGAATGACAGGATTCCAACTCGAGGAGTCGAGGCGGCTTGAGGCGAGGCAAAGCCCGTCCCCATGGTGAACCACATCTCTTTGGCGAAAAGTAAGCTTTGGTTATGTCCAGTAAAACCTGGTGGGTTTTTCCCCAGGGTTTGCACATGTCTTTGGTGAAAAGAAAACAATAATAACTAAAATCAAACTGCTTACTTTCGAGGCAGTTCAACTGTGCAAAGGTCAAGGTGTGATCTGGGCGAGTCGGATCTAACATCTGAGACCCCAAGGTTCGGACCCTACTATCCTTGAGTTGCTTCATCGAAAAATGAGCTCCCCGGCCGAGGCCGCAACCCCCAGGCCCCGGTGCGGGTTGCGGGTGCATAGCATGGGGGGGGCGACCTTCTGTTCCGACGGACGTCCATGCGACCGGGTAGAACGTGACCGGCCATGGACACGTCCTTCCATGTTTTGAGGGTCAATTCAGTCAATGGAATCGACCAATGACCTCGTCTGCGAACACTTGTCCGCCGGGTCGAGGGCAAGTGGTCGACCACCACTTCTGTGGAAGAACACGTCTGTGCTCAAAAACAGGTGCAACCAGGACCTGGTCCTCATGATGTTCAAATGCAAACTGTCCAACAAACGCACAGCAACCTTCCCTCCGGCATTTGGCACCGCCTCGGGCATCTGGCACTTCTCTTCAGGCATCTGATCAATGCAGATTTCACTAAAGTCACCGCTCCCAGCTGCTTCAGAGCCTCCTAGCTGGTGGCTGCTGCCATCCGGTCAATGGCCAATGGGCTGCAGCTTTGAGTGAAAAAGGAAAGGTCTGCAAGCTCTTTTGATGGACAAGTTTCCCAACTGAAACACTCACACACACACACACACTCTCAGTGAGTTTCAGTCAGGTTCTCAAAGTGGGCATGAGCACTGTCTTCCTTGTTTTCCAGGACTCTTGGGAGGGGCAGCAAACTTCAGCCTTACCTAACAAGCAGAAGCAAACTTCAGACGGACGGAAAAGCAGGGTTCTGGAGCCTGTCGAAAGATGTCGAAGATCCAGAGACATCGAAGCTCCAACCATCCGACCCAATACCCCCCCGAAGAATCCGACCCTGTCCTGTGGCAGCATGTGTCTGCATGGCGCGTCCTTTGCTTCTGAACCTCTTAACAATCTTGACCTTGGATACACTGATCAGGAAGCGCAAAAAGCTACAGCTACAGCCCAGAAATGTCCACCATACGGGCCAAAACAACCCAGGACCTTCAAAACAACAGATCTATTTCAGATACCAATTCCCCCTCAAAGATAGGGTATGTCCATTGGTCTGTGTATTGGTGAAGGATCATGGCCCGTAGAGCTCTGGCTTTTGGGCAACACCCCCCTGATCGAATGCTGCAAAGGGCAACCAACTCTCTGAGGACATGGCCCTGTCCTGAAACCGATCGTTTTGGAAAGTCTGTCCTTCACTAAGTCATTCATCATGTAGTTCAAATTATGGCCAGAAACTACCAAACTAAGCCAACTCCTTCGTACCACAGTTCTGTGGTGAACAACACTCCGTTTCTAGTCCTCTCAGTCTGAATGCTTGTTGCCCACAGCATGTGCTGGCTGTTAAAAATCGCAATGTTTTGCGAGTCAGTGAGATGAATCTGGTCCCTGTAACCGTTGAACATAATTGAAAATACAACATGCTTGAAATATTAACATGATCAAAACAACGACACGGCTTCTGCGGATGTCATTGCCCCCCATAAAGGAAAATGGTGAAACCAGCTTCCCAAGCAAATCGCGTGCGAACATGTGCACGTCCAAGTTGCTTTCTTTTTCTTGTGTACGCTCGCTTTCAAGCTGACCGGACTACCACGACCTTCCGCCATGTCCGCCAAGGCCGCGCGCGGGACAGCTGAAACCAAGAAGTTGGGTATCCAGAAAAGATCACTGTTCCTAACTTCAAACAGTTTTGTTCGGGTGTTGGTCAAGTTCTCCTAGCTCTTCTGCCAACTTTTGCTGTTCCGGGGCGTAGGTGTGCTTCTTGCATCTTCTGCCAACTGTTCCTGTTGGTATTGCTGTCATCATACTCTTCCCAGTGAAGGCACACTTGGTTGACAACTGCATGCTTTCTTGACAACTGCACTAGCCAACGCTGCAGCTGTAGGGTGTCCTAAAGCTTGCAGGAACTGACCTCAAGGCTCTCTGGCTTGCCACAAACACGTCTCTCATGGGCACCACCCTGACCACTTCATAATGTTTGTCCACCTCATCACTGTGTTTACAGCACCCTTTTTGTTCCGCACCATCCGCCATGGTCAGCGGAACGAAAAAAGGATCGGGCTCCGTTGGTCGCTGCCGCAACACGTAGATATCGCTCAGAGGATCTGGATCTGGAGCACCAGTGGCCGGGGTGGTCCGACTGATGGCAAAACGATGTAGAAATAAAACACTCCCTGGAAGGCGAGCCTTTTCCGAAGACCAAACAGGGGGTGAACTCCAGTGTCATGATGATTTTAGGGACACACTTCAGACAAGAGTTCTGGGACCAACTTCCTCTTACCTTCCATGAGTTCGGAGTGTATACTCTCAACCCTGTGACCGAGAACACTTCCATCTACAAGTCGTTTGCTTCGGAAGATCCAGAGTTGCAAAGGGTGTCATGTTAACTTGAGCCACATGACGAGTACGCCCGAGCGCTGGGGATTGAGACTGGGGACATCTCTTCTTGGTCCAGCACTTGGACCTCTTTTCTCCTCAATCGACTTCCGGGGTGCATTCGAGTTTGGAACCATGTAGACATCGCGATGGGGTGCTCCCCAAAACCCGGTGTTCCGCACCTATAGCCGTTGTTCGCAGAACAAATCAGGCTCCAGTGGCAAGCGTCCGTCCAAACCATCTACAGTATCCCTTGCGGACGCAGCCTGGTTTCCTTGGAACAAGACCTCACAGTCATTGGAAGGACTTTTGAGAACATCTTGGAAATTCTTCCCAGCACTTGTGCTCCACACGACCCAAGAAAATTGCTTAAAGTGTTGCCGGATGAAATAAAGACTTTGCAGCGCCGATAGCCGACAGCAAGCCCAGTTGGTCAGAGAGCATCGGATTGGGCCACCAGGGTGGCCTCATCCGATTCGTATTTGCAGCTCCGCAAGAGAGGAGGCAAAAGGCACACCTTGACACCAAGCCACTCGGGGTCATCTACCTTTTGGCCATTGAAAGCTTTCCTTTCAAACCCCCAAGGATCTCTTTTTGTTCTCCGCTTTGCTTGAAGAGCCCGAACAAAGCCACACGAAAGGCTTTGCCATGATGACACCATTTCATGATGACTCCTTTCTTCAGGCTGGACCCATTGGAAAAGGACCCGAGCTAATCCATCCACCCATCGACCCGGCGGCGCCTAAACAAAGGCCCTGTCACATCGGTGATGCGAAAACCAGCAAACCGACGCGGAAAACCAGCAGTAGATCACGTAAGACTCAGTAGACCCAAGATTAGAGGTTGGTTCAGATCACACTATCTGACTCGAGACCCAACAGCCCACACTCTAGAGAGAGAGAGAGGGGGAGAGAGTGGTGCTTCGCATCCCATGCTTCAAATGCTTTTCAAGATCTTGATGGAAGGCGCACTTTTGGGAAGGATAGGCCTCTGGAAACATTGTGTCTTACTCTTCCTCATCCTTGCGGAGCATGCCGCGCTTTGAGTGCGCGACTTGGTCAAGCCCCTGGTATCAGAGGTGGGCTATGGAACCTGGATGAAAGAACTCCGTAGCATCAACGCACCAACACAGCAAGAACGAAAAGTTGAAAAATAGTTAAAACAACTGACAGCCTGTTGGATGGTTGCAGAAGCAGAACAAGCAAAAATGCACCTGCAAATTGAACCTGTTGATTCATTCCGGGGGCAACTGACCAGGATCACCCTGAAAAGCCTTGGGATGTGGGTACATGTCAGTGTGAAGTCTGCAAAAAAGTTGAAGTCTGCGGATCCTGGCAATTTCAGCTTCAGGTAGGTTTCAGGGGGTTTGTGGGGGTCGTGAATTCACGCGCTTGGAGCTCTTCCATCCGCGGCAAAGGGCTGATCGACGACGTCCACGGTGTTGGACACGAGCGCATTCCGCGCGGGTTGGTAGAGTTTCAAAGCGAAGGATAGGATGTGAACAGGAGGATGGTTCGCCTAGCAAGTGGCTTAAGACTAGCTCTTCTTTTCTGGAAGGAACGTGGAGACATGATTGGATAGGATTACCTTCAAACCAATTCCCCCAATGCGGGATTGGCAACTCAAGTCCCCGATGTCACCAATTGACCCGATGTCCGTGTTCATACGTGTTCATGATTGGTGAAAGTAAGCCTTGATCGTGGATGTCGTAGCCCTGAGCCGGTGTTCAACATCCGGCCCTTCCGGACGTGGCTTGAGTGCGCCAAAAAGCGTGGCTTGGCCAGTCGGAAAATCACACTCAGACTGTCCGCTTGATCTATTGTCGACATTCCGGTGACCATCTCAGAGTCTCACACATCCTTCGGTTTTCTATAGTGTTCTGCTCGCAGTCATCAGGTGAACATGGGTTGCCCCAAAAGGCATCTGCGGCATTTAGAAAACTGTCTCAACCTGATGTCAAATCTGGTTGGTGGTTTCAAGTCACGAACGAAAAATCTCAAGTCAGATATGTGCCAGTGGGATCAATCACTTGAAGTCCTGAACATATCTGAAACCACCACCCCAGAGTCCTGTGTCAGTCCTGTGAGGCGCCTGTGTACGACATGGACCAAGTGGTGGGTCACGGGTAGTTTACACGCGCCGATTGTTCAAGCCACCGCGATTCTTGTGAAGGTAAACACTGAACAAAAGCACAAAAACATTCATTGAAGCACCTGAATTCGACAACTATTCTGGGTAAGTGCAAGGCACTGTGATGTCTCCAAAAATATGAACTCTTTGCGATACTATAAATATATAAAACGTTCCAAACCAAAATGACCTTGAGCCAAGGAACCCAATTGAACACCTGGTGCGCGATCGGCATGTAGCGGAATTGCTCTATAAAGGTCTTCGTGCTGCGATCCGTTAGGGTTAACCAGATGGAATCGAAGTATCCAGCCCCGGCCTGGGCCGCTCGCTCCGCCGCTCGCTCCGCCGCTCGCTCGTGCTCGCGCTGCTCGCGCGAGCAGCGCGGACCCGCGGACCCGCGGTGATGGGCCGTTGGGGAACTTCGCGCGTGTCTTTTTTCGAGCCATGGGCGTATCCGAAGGAATATGACAGACAAACAAACGTATGCACTCCCTGGAATAAATCATAGAATTGGCTTTAAAGCAGCAACCCCGGTTGCTTTCTTGCATTTGTATGCATTTGTGTTGAAACACAACCTGCAAAGTGTAGAAACTGTTCAAGCCCAGCTACCAGAAGCCGCGACATGACCACGACGATGAAGTCCATCATGACTTTGCCAACTGCCGCATACATCACAATATAGCACCACCCATCTCGAGTGATTCCAGTTGCACGTAGAGTCTGTATCTCGCGTTTATAGTTCTCTCTCAATTCCTTTGCGGGCTTATGCTCCGAGTACCAGGTAGTGTATAAGAGGTACTTCACAGCACGATCGCAATGTCCAGGCCCAAAGCCGGTCAGGGCCATGGCGCTTACCACCACCTTCAAGTCGCTCTCGTCGCTCTCGTCGCTCGGACCTTTGCAAGTCTGGTGATCGTTCACATGTAAGCCAGGACCTTCAAAGTGACTTCTTTGGAGTCTCTAGGTGACCTCTTTCGGGACTAAGTGACCTCATTCTAGGATCTCAAAAGGTCACTGGGAAGATCCAGGTAAGTGTGTGCTTTTCTGGCCCCTAAACGGAACCTCTGGCAAACCCATGTCCAAAGATTGTTCCTGGCATGGCCCGAACATCCAAATAATCCGTCACAACCTTAGATTTGACAAAGATTCTGGTTCGGGGAGTCAAGCTTGCTTTGGGGAGTTTGGGTGGGTCACGCCACTACCCGAAAATCGTGTCTAGCTGTCAGCCCTTAAGCTTGGACTTTCGATCAATGCTTTCTAGGGGAAGAACTTCGGAACAATCCAAGAAATGAGGAAAGCGCTGCAGCGAAGTGTCGAGCCTTTGACCGCTTCTGCTTACAACCACAAATGGACAGTTCTCAAAAATGGACTAAACTGGTAGGTTTCTGCAGGATCATACCCTCATCCGAGCGGCGACGGTATAGCTTAATAACATCTTCTGTGCCCTCTAGATGTAGACTTGTCACGCTCCCTCTCTGACCGCCTGGGCGAGCTGAGCTCAGTTTAGACATCGGTTCCGGTGTCTTTCGCAAGATTCTTCCTGTTGAAGGCAGACGGGATCAGAAACTCAAGCAGATGAGCAACTGTTTCAGGCATCACAAAGCAAGGAAAAGGTGCTAAACAAGTGCGAGTGGTGGGGGATCCTGCACCTGTTGGTATGCGGGATCAACAAGAGCAGCTGTCCCAGCCTCGGCCTGCATCGCCTGCCTCTTGATCAGGATGTTCAGAATCTTCCGGTTTTGGAGGATCATCACCTCTGTCGTCCAATATCGGGGGTGGAATGTGGCTAAGGAGCTCCACTCCAGAAGCCAGAAGCCAAATAAACGCAGGGAAAGCCTCGTTTCGAACAAAATGAAAGGAATAAATGATTATTGATTATATAGTGTTAATGATAATGGTCGGGTAAAACGAGTCGGGGCTCCCCCATCACCTGGCCAAAGTGGACAAATGAGTGATGAGCCGGTGTTGATTTTGGAATAGGAATTCGATGGTCAGCGAGGGAATCACTTACAGCTTATCTTGAGTCGTGGCCATCATGTGAGGGGTATGAAACCCCCTTAGCTAGCAAAGACTAGCAAGAGCCACTGTTCCGTGGTAAACGAAACATCACCCTGGGCCAAAATGGTTGATCTGGTTTTGTAGTGTAAAAGCCTTAGTAAAACAAGGGTGGTTCGGGAGTCAGGCTATTCAGAAAACGGTGGGCCACGACTTCTAGAGATCAAGCATTTGCAGCTTGCTTTCGTCTCCACCATCCGTGCCCCATCAGCACCATCCGCGCTCAAGGCTTGGCGGCCGAGGCGATGTCACGAAGGGTTTCTACAAAACATGGCCAATACTCGTTGAAGAGGTCTAGGACCTGAGCTAGTTATCGGAGATGATAAACCATGAAATGAAAAAAGATTGGAAAACCTTTGGGAATCTTTGGGAAAGATCCCAGCTGACCACATCCAGCCAGAGATCACCCATCGATTCAGCCTTGGTGTTGTTGGCGGTAGATCAATACATGCATTAGCGGCTCCACTAGGCATACGCGCAGCACGATCATGAAGACTACAATGATTGCAATCACCCAGGGGTAGCAGCAAAGGAAAAGGGGAAAGTACACGAGACCTGCTACCCATCCAAATGTCCAGCACCTTGCAAGGAGTACCACCATGTACAGTGTCCATAGATGTCCATTGGTCTCTGATGCCTTGACAATCAAACTCACCAAGCGTGGTGTGTCCAGCACTGAGCGTGCAATGGCTTTTTCCATCGGCACATCACCATCACTGAGAGGTCGCTCCACCATCGCTTTCTCAAGAGAGTCTTTAGCCTGCTCCACATCTTTCATGTATTTGCTCCATGTTGCCACAAATTCGTCGTGATGAGCTGCTTTGAAGTTCAGGTAGTCGTTGAAGACCATGAGCAAAGCAATTTGATCCACATATCTACCCCACTGTGTGCTTGTGGCAGATTGGACCATGGCAAGCATTAGGATGCGCGCCAGGGGGGAGCCGGCTGCATGCTGTTCCCGAGCAATCTTGGTGAGCTGCCAAATCTCGTCTCCCCAGGTCCAAAGGGTCCAGAGCAAGAGGTAAAGAGTAAGGCATCTTTTGGCGACGTTGCCTACGCATTGCCAACAAGACTGCCTGTCCGGCGTGTCAACCAGTTTGGGTGGCCCCAGGACAAGGTTGATGGATGCTGATCCAATGATGCCTGTGATCAAGATCATCCAATATGGTTGTTTCCCCGGAGCTCTTACGACCTTGTTGATATCTTCCACATAAGGTCCTTCTTTCACAAGGAAGGTCACTCCTAATGCAAGCAAGGCCAGCGGGAGGACAAAGAGAAACAAGCGACCACAGGTCAGGACGAGGCCATACAGAAATAAGGAGAAATAATGCCCTTGATGTGCTGACGTTTGGGCCGCCTTAAAAGACCGTCTGGCTCCAAAGAGCCCGCCAACCAAAGCCAAAGCTAAATGCTCCAGGCAGTTAAAGCCTTTCGGGAGCTTCTGCGTCCACGTGCGCGAGAAGGCAGCCATCACGGTGCTCTTCCTTTTCATCTTGTTTTTGTCATCTTCAGCCGATTCATCTTGATCTCCTTCACCTCATACATTGGTCACCCAACATTCAAGCTTTATAAATACCATGGAACTCCTCCAGTTACTTGAGCACTTGAGTTACATGTTCACGAAACCTGTAGCGAGTTCTGACCGGTGACGCTCTCTCTCTCTCTCTGTCACTCTTTGGAAAAGAACACTTCAGGTGTCCAACTCGGCCTGTCTCCCCCTTTCTCGCGCGTGGACCGCTGGCTGTTCCTTCGTCACACTGGCTCCCGCGCCCGCTGGCTGCCCCAATCTCTGATCCTCAAAAGCACCGGTCTCTTGGGCTTTCACCGGTCTCTTGGGCTTTCACCGGTCTCTTGGGCTTTCACCGGTCTCTTGGGCTCATAAGAGATGCCTAATAACATCATAATAACTATAAACCGAAGAATTGTTGATGATCCGGCTGAGTTATCGATCATTGATCTATAAGATCTATAATGATCTATATATAACTCTTCCGATCCCTGACCCGACCCCCATTTCTTGGAAGACAGGAGAACCTTCCTCCCGTCCTTCCCGTCCGTCGCCGGCGAATCTCACCGTCTGTCGCCGAGGCGGGTCGCGGGGCTCCTGACGCGGGGGTTAGGTGCGGACAATGTTCCGTGCGAGGTGGACACCGGTCGCCCTATCAGATAGGTGCCAGGAGTCACAAGACGGGGTGCTTTTGAGTACCCAAGTGAGTGGAGCTGGGAACCCTATCCTCCAAGTTCGGCACCCCGTCTTGTGACTGAACCATGGTGTCCCAACTCCCGCTGGGTTCGAAGGCAAATAGACCAGGAAAGACCCCTTGTGGTTGGGAGGGGAGACCCGATTGGAATACACACCTATGCATTCATGTTCTTCTGTCTGCTCTATTTGGCAACATCATCAAATGAATATTGAATATGCATGGGATACCAGATACGAAAAACCTACATATATATATATATATATCTGTGTGTGTGGTCCACATTCTTGAAGGTCTCCCTTCCCCTTCCCATTAATCAACCCACCGGTACGGCCATAGGTCACCGTCAGGGCATCCAGTCCGTGAGCCACTGTGGAGTCGCTCCGTGGGTGGCAGCCGATCAATCTCCACCAGTCCGGGCTTTCGTAGGTCCTATAAAGGTAGGTCGTGTAGGGGCTCAGTTTTGGACCCCCAGATCGTCTGAAACAGAGACTATAGATACTCAACGGTGAGGCAAGGGCAAGACGTCACATTGTTCAGAACCGAGGTTCACCATGGCTTCACTGTTCCGATCGATTTGGAAAGACAGACCATGCTGGAAGCCCAGCTTTGTGCTGGCAGCCCATTATGCTGGGCGCTGCAAAACCCTGACATATTCTCTCGACTGAAGATTGGTTCTACCAAGATGCTCCATGGTTTTCATGCTCCACAGATGCTCCGCAGCTCCCTCAAAACATCGGGATTTGAAAAACATCGAGGCGACCCCTGGGTCCCGGGTCGCTTCTGGTCACCAAACGTTTGCGCCTCTTGTTCAGAAAACGATTGGTACCAGCAGTCACAGGGGTGCGATCCATGGAGGTTAGGGGTGCCCATTATCCACTCACTTAGGGACTAAAAGCTACCCATAGGAGCAAGAGTGGGACGTCAGCTACAGCACTGGATATTCACATAGCCATGCAAGAGCACCTGTTCAAGAACATGTTCCTGGCATGTGCTACTGAGGAATCACTGTCCATGTTAGTGACCAGACGGGGAAACAGGGTAGATGACGATGTCTTTTTTGGAAGAAAAAAGACTTGTTTGGATGTTGAAACCATGGGTTCTCCCATCAACAAGCCAGCGTTTGCAGAACGAAGAATTCATCTTCCAACGCTCCCAGTTCCATCGCCTCCTTCACGTCCACACGAACTTCCTTGCCATCACCGCCTTCAGTGCGCGACTTCGATGCCGGAACCGTCCACCTGTTCGTACCCTGGTTTCTATGTCCCCCATGCTCGAAAGGTGACTGCTCAGGTGATCCCACTTCTTGAAAAACCCCACCCTTTCCGTAGCTCGTTTCTCCCAACATCAGAGGGAGTTCTCCCACTGGTTCCGCGGGCCGATCCTGCCTGGAACTGACTGCTCCTCTTCACCTTCCAGGTGAGCCGTAGTGCTACCTTCACTCGAAAAGCTCTTGCACTCTGCATCGGCTGGACCAGGTGGCAAAGCTGAATACCTTGGCCCCATGGCAGAGTCTCTTTCAAGCACATGTCAAACGCATGTCTTCTCGACACTCTGACGAACACATGGGTCCACAACACTCGTAGATGGCATGGTCCTCAAAGGAAGACGAACACATGTTCCTCCAATAAACAGGGGGGGTGAAAACCAGCACTTCCATGTCTTCGGACTCAGACACCAATCCAACGGGTCCAACAGGCGGTCCACCGTCCGTGCGGGACAGCGTCCGTGCGGGACCGTCGGTCCAGCGTGCTTTCGCAGCTTGCTGAAAAGGAGGAACAGAAGAAGAAAACAAAAAATATGATTTGTTCCTGGTTCTTCAGCTACCTACAGAGGTTAAGTGACCTTCTAGGACCCTACCAGGGTACCTAGCCTATAAGGGTTCTTCGACCCTCTGGTTCTTCAGTTCGTGACCTAACTTGATCACCTGGTTGGTTCGGTCACTTAAGCCTTGTAAGGGTGTTCTTCAGTT